ATTCCCTCACGTGTGACATACTTAGGCACCACTTCAAGGGCTATACAGCAATCAATTGGTCCGATGAGGGCTATTAGGCATCCAATCCAACATCAAATGCAGTATTCACTCAAGAATTTTCCCAAAAATTAACAATAAGTTTGCTTTTAATAAACATTTTATTATTAATAATAATGAATACATTATACAATGAGATAAATAACCGAATAAATCAATTGTCATTATTTTTCTCTTTGTTTTTTAGTTATTTTTATTAATATTGTTTTTGATCTCATATTTAACACCAAATACTGTATTAACGGAACGAATAACTCGTTATTAGACTCCGATTTGAAATGAAAAGTCAATTACATATATAAAGACATGATTTCCCAAATAAATTGTAATCGACTTCGAAGTCATTGACCAATAAAGTCATGATTGCATTCATTATATATATAATAATATATAATATATATATATATAATAAAAAGAGTTCTCCTTTTTTCGATATAAAGTCACAAAAGTAATCATAATTTAAATTATAGGGGAATACAAAGTTAATCTAAATTATTATAACAAACCAATCGATTCATAAATTAATGTTTTTGCGACAATTATCCCGGTTGTTTTTGCTTATATCTTACAAGTTTTAAAACCCCATTTGAATCGTTGATTCGAAACCAAACAAAAAATATTGAGTAAAAACTTTTGACTCAAATGAATGAAAAGCAAAATTATAAGTAAAAGTTATAAATGAAATGAGAATTAAAAAAAGTGCTCTAAAAATATATATAAGACTTAAAATGCAAAATAAATTATACTATAATAAATATATTTTATATTATTATAAAACTTATGGAAAGTATATATAATTTGTTAATAAGTTTTTTCCCAAATCAAAGGTTTTTTAATGAATTTTGTCAAAAATTTGATTGAAATTGTGTTTCAATTAATAGACTCTGAAATATATTTTATATAAATGTCTTTTTTGCGACTTTTCGTCTGACAGAAACAACTGAAAAACGAGTTTTTGTGGTAATGTTTTCAATAGTATTTTCCATGAAAGGTATAGTAAATGTCGTACAGAAAGGGACATCGAAATTGAATGGATGGAAATATACTACTTTTTCACACTTAAAACACAACTTTTAAGTAAAAACCTCTATTTGTTGACTTAAATTAAAGTATCAATACGTTTTTTTCCGCTTTAAATAAACTATACAATGAAAATGAAAACTACTCGTATATTAAGTGTCAAAACAAATAAGACTTTCTAAAACATAAGATTGGCATCTCATCTAACAATAAGTATAGAAACAAATAAAATTAAAATACATTTGGCACTAAATTAAGTTTAAAAAGTAGACATATTTTAAATGAAAATTTAATTGCCTGTTTGTGATTAGTCTAAAAATGGGTGAAACGTGAGGAATACGAGTGAATCACCAACTTATAGATAGAGATCGAGAGTTCATAGACTGTTAGTAAATAAAGGTTTGTTTTTGGCAAAAATTATGCTTAAAATTATATGCAATAGAAATACAGTACTGTTTCAATGGGTTGACTCTTTGGGAATTGTTTTTCAGACAACATTATAAACAACAATATGTCCTATAATTATATTCACAATTCGTTTTTTGAAAATTCATTTCATGTTTTGTTAATTGTGTTACACCTGAAGAAAGGCTCGTCTTTTTTTTGAACACTTATTTTTGCTTTGAATTTGTTGTCAAACCTTTGATTTATATTTGGATCGCGTCTTAGACCTGAGTTTTAGACGACTTCCGCGCTGACGGCGCCGTAGAACTGGATTTGGTTGATGTGGTCGACGACTTGCGACTACTGGTCGACGAGTATTTCATGGGCTCGTCGTCTGACAGACACTGTTTGTCAGGAAGGGATGAGCGCTGGTCTTCTATACGTCCCGCTTGGAAACGGAGGATCAGACTGAAGAAGTCTTCGTCGGGAACCGTTGGGGCGACGCTCTGATGGATGCGCACAAGTGTCACATAAATAGTCACTTAAAAACACATTCATTACTACAATACCTGTTGCGGAGAATTGCTTTGAGTGGAGACAACACTTTGAGGCCTTTCTAGAGTTGAGGGCCGGGAGATGGAGGAGGACTCGTCGGATGAGGTGCCGGGCATTAGGGTTCGCTGGTCTTCCAGACGGCTGGCCTGCGAGCGCATCAACATCTCGAAGAAGTCGTCGTCGGGCAAGACATTGGCGCCCAACGAGTACTGTCTGTTGGGAACAGTGCGGCGCGGGTTCTGCGGGTTATTGGCCCGCAATCGCGGCACCAAATCATTGCTATTCTCGTTATTCCTGTTGTTCGCCGCAAACGAGTGAGGGTTTCGTTGTTGTGGAAGACTTTCGGGTCCATTGGTGGCACTGTTGCGACGGACGGGCGGCAGTGCAGCCCTTTGGTCGTCCATTCGGCGCTCTTGCATACCGGCGATCATATCAATCAGATCGTGGAAGTGGTCGCCACTACTCGACGCAGAGTCCTGCGACGACTGGCCAACGCTTCCGATATGATTATTCATCGCATGCGACGGGTTATTGCGGTTATTATTAGCGTTAGCGCCGGCGTTGCGAACGGGGTTTGCGTTTGAAGGGTTGTCACGAATGGTGTTCGCAAACTGTCGGTTCATTTGGTTAGCCATCGGTTGACCACAGATTGGCATCGGTTTGCGGTTCTCCTTGTTTTCAGTGCCATTGAGAGGACATCTCTGGTCATCCATTCGTTTGCTTTGGAATTTCGAGACCAAATCCAAGAAGTCTTCGTGACTTTTACTAATAAAGTCAGTGCTGGAAGAGGCGACCATTGGCTCGACCGACGGCTCCACACTCTCGCCACTACTACTACCCGTCGCCACCATTTCATCGACAGTATTGAGCGAGTGTTTGCGCTGTTGTGGCGTTAGTGTCATGAGTTCCATGCGATCCATAGACTGCCGCTTATGGCGCCCGTAGCCGTCGGATGGGGGGCCGTCTGCGACCGGACTTTTGCTTAAATCCTTTTCCAACATCTTTCGTAAGTCAGAAATACTCATTTGAGCCGTTGTTTGACCCGTAATGTCGCCGATCTCTCGGCTGATCTCCAGGTGCTTCTGTGCATAATTGAGCGCTTCGTGATGATCGCCCACTGCTGTCATGGCGTTCCCTAAACTCCAATACGCCCGGCCCTCACCGATACGGTCTCTCAGCTCCTGAGCGATCTTTAAATGTCTTAAATGGTATTCAATGGCGGAGTTGTAATCGCGTAGAAGTGTATACGTATTGCCGAGACTATAGCACGCCTGGGCCTCCACCACGCGATCCTTTAGTTGTTCCGCCAAATCAAGGGTTTGTCTGAAAATACAAATCAGTCATTGATGGCGCACAACACGCGGATCAAGTGATGACATACTTATAGTTGTCGACCGCTATCTCGAACTGACCCAAGAAGATGTGGGCGTTTCCCAGATTGCATTGCGCTCTCCGTTCAGCCGCTTTGTCGCCGAACTCTTTGGCGATTTTCAATCTCTGTATCAATTCATTCAATTAGACATTCAATCAGACATTCGCATGAATCACTTGATGGCAATGGCGTACCTCTTCGTGATAGGCCACCGCTTGTGTAAAGTTGCCCAACAGGTAGTGAGTGTTACCGAGATTACCGCACGCCCGACCCTGCGCTGACTTATCGCCCATTTGTGTCATTAGATCCAGATTTTGTCTGCAAATGTTTTCCATTAAAAAACAATTTCATGCTTAAGATGTCACCAAAAGAGTGTCCATTACTTGTAATAGTCGACCGCCTGTTCCAAGCAGTGTTTGACATCGTCGGGGAACTCTCCCGGGTCTTGATTGCCAGCCCGAGCCATGTTCTTGCCCTTCGTGTGGTACACGTTACCCAAGTTATACAGGGCTCGACCCTCGCCTACCTGTCCATCGATAAAGTAAAACATCAATTATGATAATAGAGGACAACGGCAACGCTTAGCGAATCAATTACTTTATCAGACAATTCACGGCTGATCTCGAGATGTCTTTTGCAGAATATGATGGCGTCGTCGAAGCGGCCCATCATCTTCAGAGTGTTGCCTAAGTTTCCGGAGGCCTTCGCTTCGCCGATGCGGTCGTTGATGGATCTGTCGGTCAATTGAGACAAACATTTAATGGTAATCGCAGACAGATATCGTCAGAGACGTCAACTCAAGACAAAGGTATGAGAAAAAGTGGCACAAAAAATGCTGAAAACAACTAAAGCTAGGCTCGGACTAAGAGATACAGAGGAAAGAGTGGTAATACTTGGCGACAGTTAAGTCGAGTTTGTGGTAATCCATGGCCTTATGATAATTGGCTAAATAGAAGTAAGCGTTTCCTAATTGCGAGTAAATGGCTGACAGCGTCTTGAGGTCATTGGTGCCGCACTTGACGGCCGCCTCGAAGAAGGCGACGGATCCGTTGAAGTCACCCAATTTGGACAGCCGTTCGCCTTCGATGGCCAACTCTATGCACGTCGAGACGTCCATCGCGTCCAACGTCACCACCGATGCCGAGATCACTGCCTCGGATGACCAACACGCGCGCCGATCGGATGTCTGGGGAGTGTATGGAGTGGTGACCGCTTACGGACAGATCATGTGTGTAGTGGTGTGGGAAGTGGTGTTGCGGTCTGTTTGGGACCAAATGCGGTGATGTCTTCAGTCAAACAAATGAGTCAAACAAACGGTTTTTGTGTGATTGGAGTGCGTCTGCGCACATGAACCACACACTCTCACACTCTCACACACTCTCTCACACTCTCTCTCACACACTCTCTCACACACTCTCTCCCCTCACATCCCATTCCCCTTCACATCCCTCTCCCAATCCATTGCATCCTTTGCTTTGCTTTGGCCTCAGTTTCCCTCTCTTTCTCTCTTTCCATACGTTGTGTTCACTGTTTTGAATGCAATGCCGTTGTGTCCGACAGACACCACCACTCTCTCCATACATTCCCTATGCATCCCATTCCTCATCACATCTATGCTCTAACTGTTTGTTACACTCAAACACTATCTCTATTACCGTTCATTCAATTATTATGTAATACTTTCACTATTATACGGTACTATTATGTAATTTTTATGTAATTACTATTTTACTTTTATGTAATATTTACACCACTTATGAGTTAGAGAGAGAGTGAGAGAGAGAGAGAGAGAGAGAGAGAGAGAGACTTAATTGTGAAAATGTGAAAGTTCTTATATTATATAAGACAATGAATTAATATTGAGTGACTACAGTACCTCATCCCTTCAATATAACTGAATATTATATATATTGGAAAATTATAATAATACAGTATTTATTTGATTAAATAAATGATGTGTTTATTCAGCAAAATATTATACCATTTATGACATAAAGGATTGAATGATATCACAAAAATTATTCACTATTTTTGTTTTACAGTTAAAGCACTCATTGATCGCGTGTTTTCAACACTTTACTAGTTATCACATATCGGGTATAATGCAATACTGTGTTATAAATTAATTATTTGTTAAATATTGGGCAATTTATTTAGGCAAACATTATTATAATTGTTAATTTTGTTTATAATATATTTTTATATAAATATACTCACAATACCGTACATCTTAAATTAAATAACAAATAAATTAACAAAAATATTATAATACAAATTGTTTTATAAATTTTAAAATAGTTAAACAATCTATATTTTATCTAATATATATTAAATCTATATTTCAATATAATTATTTCAATTAATTTTATGTTTTTGTCAGTAAAAATGTAAAATCAGTTTTTATTTTGAGAATAATATTTTATTTAGTCATTTCAATATAATTTAAAAATAAGTAACATTTTCAAAGGGCTTGATTTGAGGGTTAGTTTTAGGTAAAAATAAACTGTGTAAATTATTTGTATAAAAGTACTACAGTAAGTACTGTGTATATAACTTGTGTAACATAGATCAAACATTTATGTAATTGATACTGTATTAAAATTTAAATAAAACTTTTAAATATATAATTTAAATGAAATGTTTTGAAGTTAATATTACAAAATCAAAGCTCTAATTGATTATCAAATGATTGAATATAAACTTTGGTTTCATTCAATGAGTATTTAAAATGGCTTAACTTTGTTTTTATTTAGTGATGATTATGAATTTTTTAAATCGTTTTTATATAGTGCCCAATGAACTAGTTCATTAATGGGTCTATTTAATATTACAGAAATCTGTACTAATAAATAAATCTTCTTAAACCTCCATTGTATTCAAATATTATGTCAATAAAGATGAGCTAAAACTTTCAGTTTTGACACTAGAATATTGTGAAGTTTCTTAAAATATTTATTTTCATATTTTGTCAAAATAAAATAAGACAAATTTGGGATAAAGGGAAATTTTGAATGCAATGGACGTCCTATTATTAGTACGGCTGAGTGGCTGTGGACACAGAGTTAGTGTGTGTATTGAAGCGTATGGAGCAACACAAGTAATATACAAATCGGAATCGCTCTCGAAATTCTCGGTTAAATTTTTCCTGTAATATACATTAAGTATTTGTTAGACATTTAGAAATTTTTAAAAATTCATTATTACAAATGGATTATTGTAAACCATGTTTGTATGTCATATTTATGTTATATGCGATTTGTATCTACTTACGTTAAAAAAGACATAAATGTATGGATTATAGCATGAGTTTGATAGGGCTAACCAATTACACGTAAATCGTATAACATCCAGATATTGAAAACTTGAAAAAATAAATCAAATTGATATTAACGTTAATATAATGTATTGTAAAGTTTATGTAAAGACCATTCCGCGAACTTAGCTTACAATACAATATTTGTGGTTTATTTTTTATTAAGAAACATGTATCAATGTAAATAAAGTTATAAATAATGTTATTATTAAATATTAGTATTGCAATTACAAACCCAAGAATTTGTGGATAAAGCTCTTTGATTATATTAAACAGTTGTAACGGAAGCCACGATAGACTGAATAGCAAGACCACAACAAATAGCATTTTGATCACCTTTAAATTATAGAAAGTTTAAAATAACAACATTAGAACTACAATATAATTGGCAATATAAATGATATTTCCTATAATATTACAAAGATGTTCTTGATGACTTTACGCTGCGCATTAGGTATGCTAAGCTAAGCTAGCTAATACCATAATTTGTTAAAAGACTTGGAACTTCCAAAGTCTAGGAAAACACTTCAATGTTTTTTAAACTCAATGTTTATTCTAGTGTAAAATTTTTTAATTTATTGAATTAAATATTAAAAGTTGGGTTTTAAATCCTAGAAAATATATGTAAACCTTTTACAAATTGTAATTTATAATGTATAATTAATAAATCCTATCGCTGAAAATTAGCTTCAGTCAAATGAACAGGGTTTTTAAATATAAATAAATTCAATTTAATTTAATAAATATTGGTAATTAAAATCTAAAAATATCTTTCATATTGAATATTAAATATTCTTTTCAAATATAAGGTTCAATTGTGTTATTATAATAATGTAAATAACAAAAAGTAATTTTATAGAAGATTATAAGTAAAAGCAAGAAATTTAAATGCAAATTTTATTTCTAAACATGTGAACATGTTACATAAAAACATTTAATAATGTTTCGCTACTGTCTCTTATTTACTTCATACTATAAAAGATTTTCTTTTATAAATTTCAAATAAATAGATGTAATATGTGTAAAATTATTTATAAGAATTACCTTTATCCAAATTTTCAGTTTATTCAAATAATTATTTCAATTTAATTATCCTTATTATTTTTAAAAGTTGATAAGTAACATTTTGTTTGCCATATACGATATATCAAAAATAAATTTAATATAGTGCTTTTAAAAGATTTAAAAAAATAAAATTTAAAGAACCTTTTAAATAGAGTATTAATAAAAGCTTCATGTTATCCATCTAAAACTTAAATCAATATTCATTAGTAAACTAATGTAAGAATACGCGAAAATTGAAATTCTAATATACAGTAAATTTCCATTTTATTATTTACTCTTTCTTTGCTATTTGTTGCAGATATTCTCAATATCGAGATATACAACGTGGCAGTTATGAAAATAATAAGGTACTTATATAACAATTTATTAATATTTGAAAATGTATATAAATTAAATCTCTAGGTATTATATCACTGTTTCATTAGTCCTTAAATGATATCTAAGAGATATACGGTTTAAAATATAATTGGCTGTGAATTCTATTTATATGTTTGTCGTGTCTTTTATATATCATCAATAGAAATATGTTCTTGAAATTCAAAGCACATAAAACTAGAAATAAAGGTCATTTTCTAAACAATATCAAAAATATCAAAACATTAAGTTGTTCAGAAATAATTTGAAGCTTATATTCCTAATTAATTAAATTCTTTGATTTCTTAAACATGTATAATTTTAGTATTATAATTATTGCCCTCAAGTTATACATTCTGTGCAAACATAAAACAAATAATTAAAAACATTTCGATATTACAGTATATCAAAATAATTAGGAATATTAAATTTTATATGCTAATAATAAAATAATAATTTGGCGTTAATTATAAAAATATAAAATCTTCTCAAATAATTAATAAGCGGAATAATGATATGAAAATAGTGTATTCTAAATGCAATGAACGGAATATAATAGTAAAAAATTTACTTTTTTCTTCTTCCTCTTAATGTTAATGTTATTCACTCTAACAGTGGAGTCGATCGCCTCTTCTTCACGACTTAAAGCCAAAGCCATTCGTATATAAGTATATGATATGACACACAGAGGGATGAAGTAGTGGACAAACACGAGAGCGCTTTTATAAGTGCCGAATAGAGCTGTTGTGAGGCCTATGTTCTGACAGAAGGGCATTGTTTTCTCTTCTGTCAAGTCATCCCATATTAAGTGAACCTTTAATTAGATTTTGTAATTTATTGCTGACGGCTTTAGGCAAATCCAATTTTCTAATTTTATTCTCATTAAAGAATATTCTAAATCGGAATGTCACTTTTTAAAAGTTAGTAAATATATTATAATTAGTATGGATGTACTCTATAATTATAGCTTAAAAAGAATATCGCAATATAAAATTCCACTACAATCAGAATATTCTGTTAAATCCAATTTTATCATTTACAAAACAGATATTATTGTATATTTTTGATAATAAATATAATAAATTTATTAGTAATATTTAAATTGAATCTATTGATGTTCACTGATTCATGTTTGTATGTGAATTATTTGAAATAAGTTTAAACTTTGTTAGTAATATTAACATCTACTGTATTTAATACTACAGTCTGCCCCCGAAATAAGGTAACTCGGTATAAGGTAAACCCCGTGATAAGGTGCATTAGTTTACTGCACCGGCAGTTTATTACTGTATTGGTTCCGTATANATAAGGTAACTCGGTATAAGGTAAACCCCGTGATAAGGTGCATTAGTTTACTCCACCGGCAGTTTATTACTGTATTGGTTCCGTATAATGTTTATCCCGAGATAAGGTAGACCCCGAGATAAGGTAATGTTTTCTCATGCACCGATGAAAACCTTATCTCGGGGTCAGACTGTATAAGAATTTTTGTTTTTATACAATATATGCCATTTACAATATAAGTTATATGATGGATATAATTGGATTTAACAGAATATTCTGATTCTAGTGGAATTTAATTTTGCGATATTCTTTTTAAGCTATAATTATAGAATACATCCATACTAATTATAATATATTTACTAACTTTTAAAAAGGGACATTCCGATTAAATATAATTTCGACGAAAATTAATATTTAACTTATTTTGCTAATTGTTAATAAAGTAAAAATTTAATTTACATTATTTTTTACAAATACTCAGCATAATTTATAATTAGTGTGTATAATACTGTAATTCAGATTTATTCTACTGTATTGATGAAATATAAGTATTATCTTTCAATAATT